AGATAGATAGATAGATAGATAGATAGATAGATAGATAGATAGATAGATAGATAGATAGATTGGCTTGTACTGATGTGTGATCATGTTCAAACAGTAAATATAACAGTATGTTGAGTGGGCGTGTTTTTATATGATGTGGCGGTTTTTAACAGATTTTGGGCTGGAAAATCTCGACTCTATCTGGCAACACTGGTTAGGCTCATAGACATATAAATCGTTAGAAGGATGCTTGAGAAAAGTGAAGCGCTATGTCTGTAGCGTCTTAGCTGAGCAGTAAGCTAAGTATATGATGCTGTAAGACACTGCAAGTGTAAGATGCTGTGTGTTAAGGTGCATTAAAGTTGAAATGTCTTTAAAACCCACAGCTAAATTTACACAAACTTGGTGAGAGACATGTTTTAAATGTGTGGAATCAAAATAAGGAAATCTAGCTGCAATTATTATTATTATTTTTTTTGTACACTAGTATCCTGATGCATGCTCAATAATCCAGGTAGAAAAATCTAAAAAAAGTTAAATCTGGTCCACTGGGCATTCAAAAAACAAAACAAAGCAAAACAACAACAACAAAAAAATCTAGAAACGTTTCCTCTTTCATCTGAAAGACTTCCTCAGTCTGAGGTGCTGTATCAGCTCAGTCTTATAAATAGCACCTTCTCAGACTGGATCAACCAGTTTTGCTGCTGACAACCAGCTGCTCACATGATCAAGAAGGACCATCAGCCTAATGATCCATCGTTAAAAAAGTGTACACTAGTGTACACTTTTTTTGCACACTGGTTCGTGTGTACGCCTACACACACGAACACACACACTGTCCCCATCTGACGCCCTTGTATACATATATCACTGTATATTTACTTTTGTTTGGCTTGATTGAGAATACTCTGATATTAAGGAGATAATAGTTACCGCTGCAACAATCTCAGTCTGGCTGACAAAGAGGACACTCAGCAGAGGCATGCAGTCAGTGGTCGCTTGGGTCACCCTAGACACAAAAAGGCAAGAACACATTAATAATAGAGAGAAAACTGTGAAAGCTGAATGCTGTGTCTTTACTGAAGTTAGCGGAAATGGCTAATTTGTGATTGTTAAAGGTAAATAAGGCTATACTTTAGCTAAAAGCTGAAAGGAGCAAATGGCTAGCAAAAAGTAACAAAAGGCTATTTAAAAGCCTAAAGTACTTTAAAACTAATTATAGCTAAGCAAAACATAATAACTCATAGCTAAACATAGCAATAAAGCTGATTAAAATCTTTAAATAGAGACTAAACAATAGCACAAATTTAAGTTAAGAAAATGCTTAAAATTAAAAAAAAATCTAGCCAAATATCAAAGGCTAGAAAAACTAAAAGTTTTAAAGTGCTAGCATAATATATCAAAAAGTTAGCCAGAAGCTAAGCCAAAGGCCTAAAGCCTAAATTACCTTAACACTAGTTATAGCTAAAAGTAACAGGAAAATAGCTTAAAGCTAAATATAGCCAAAAGACTGGTTTAAAACAAAAAAGTAGCTAAACTAAAATATATTGGAAAAGATAACTAGAAGCTAACAGAAGCAAAATAGCAAAAAGCTAAAAAGAGCATACGAAGACACAAGTAAGGCAAATAGTCTGAAGCATATTCCAAACAGAACAATGCATTTGAGAACTAAAATATCTCAATTTATTACTGATGAAAGTATTTATAAATAAAATAAATATATTGAATAGTCTTCCTGTGGGCCCACCACCTGCAGGAGGGGCCATATGAGTTGGGTGCATGACACCATGGACAGTGGCAGAAGGCGAGGGCCTTGGCACTTTGACCCTGGCTTACCAAAACTAGTCTCCCTGGTAAGATCTATTCAGGGGTACTGGCGGAGTGAGTCCAACCGTTCATCAAACCTCAGATCCAGGAGGAACAATATGGATTCCATCCTGGCCATGGAACACTGGATCAGCTCTTTACCCTCACAAGGGTCCATGGGGGCGGGGGGGGGGTCATGGGAGTTTGCCAGTACAGTTTACATGTGTTTTGTAGACTTTGATGGATTTTGACTGTGCTCCTTGGGGTACACTATGGGGGATGCTCCATGAGTATGGCATTTGGGGCCTGCTGCTATGGACTCTTCAGTCCCTATACAAGCAGTGTGAGAGTTTGGTTCACATTGCCGGTGGTAAGTTGGACCCCTTCAGAGTGGGAGTTGGGCTCGATCAGGTTGGCCTGTAGTCACCGATTCTGTTCATGGGCAGCTGTGGCTGAGTGGTTAGGGCAGTCGTCCTCCAATGGGAGAGTAGAGGGTTTGATTCCACCAGCAGTCATATGCTAAAGTGTCCCTGGGCAAGACACTGAACTTCTCATTGCCTTCGATGTGGGTCCCATCGGTATATGAATTTGATCTAGAGCACTGATGAATCTTTGTATAGATCTAGTAGAGTGCTGTATGAAGGGGTAAATTAGGGCACATATTATAATGTAAAGCACTCTGAGTGTCTTGATAAGATAGAAACATGCCATATAAGTACAGTCCATTTACCATTCATAAAGTTAAAAGATAGAATTTCTCGGTGCAGCCAAGGGGCAAAGGGTGTCTGATTTGGTGGCCTCAGGATTCCATCTCTGCTCGTTGCAGATGATATGGTCCTGCTTGCATCATTGTGCCATGATCTTCATCTCTCACTGGAGTGGTTTGCAGTGGAGTTTGAAGCAGATGAGAATCAGTATGGTACCTCCAAATCTCAGGCTATAGTACTAAATTGGAAAAGGGTGGATTGCTCTCTTCAGGTTGAGGATGAGGTTCTGCCTCAAGTGGAGGAGTTCAAATATCTTGGGCATTTTGTTCACGAGTGAGGGAAGACTGGAGCGTGAGATTGACAGATGAATTGGTGCAGCGTCTGCAGCAGACTCTGTACCGGTCCATTGTGTTGAAGAGGGAGCTGTGCTGTCAGGTAAAGCTCTCTGTTTACTCTTCGATCTACATTCCTACCCTCACCCACGGTCATGAACTCTGGGTAGAGACTGAAAGAATGAGATTGTGGATACAGGCAGTTGAAATGAGTTTCCTCCGCAGGATAGCTGGACTCTTCCTTAGAGATAGGGTGAGAAGTTCAGTTATCCAGGAGAGACTCGGAGTAGAATTGTTGCTCCTCCACATCCAGAGGAACCAGTTGAGTTGGTTCAGGCATGTCCGACTGGGAAGAGATCCCGGGAAAAACCCAGGACACACTGGAGAGACTACGTCTTTCGGATGGCCTGGGAACAGCTTGGAGTCTTCCCAGAAGAGCTGCAAGAGGTGGGTGTGGAAAGAGATGTCTGGACCTCCCTGCTCAAGCTCCTGCCCCGTTCGACCTGACTTTGGAACAAGCGGAAGATAATGGATGGGCAGATAGCATTGATAGTATAAAAGTTGCAAATACTAAAAGTCATGACGTACTACTTGTGATAATAATAATAATAATAATGTCATCACAATGTCAGCACTGTATGTTTCCATACAATGGCGAAATTAGTCTCTGCATTTAACCCATCCACCACCAGGTGGTGCAGTGGGCAGCTATTGAAAGCGCCCGGGGGACATTTTGGGGATGAGACGTGCTGCCCAGAGACGCCACGAGATGTGCAGTGACTGGGGATCGAACCTGGGACTTTCGGGTCCCAAGCCGGCTGCCCTACCTCTATACCATCTCGGTACGAGTTGAATATAATAATATACAGGTCCTTCTAAAAAAATTAGCATATTGTGATAAAGGTCATTATTTTCCATAATGTAATGATAAAAATGAAACTTTCATATATTTCAGATTCATTGCACACCAACTGAAATATTTCAGGTCTTTAATTGTTTTAATACTGATGATTATGGCATACAGCTCATGAAAACCCAAAATGCCTGTCCCAAAAAATTAGCATAT